GTCTCCCAATCTGCAACAACTCAGGCATTGAAGTTGCTGAGGTGGACACTCCTATTATCTTTTGGAATGATATATATTATACCGCTCAAGGACTCCTAGAACTGAGCCTTTAAAATGTCAGTACTGTTCATTGTTAGATTGTAGGCACTAATGATTTGTTGATCTGAGGAAGGCTTTTGACATTGTTAATCATGCTGGTCTTTGGAAGATCCTCTCGAAATTGGGTTGCCTCTCCCCCTCCAACTTTCACAAGATTCTAAGGTCTTTCCATGACTGTATGGAAGCCTGTGTCAGTTTTAGCAGTATGCTTATGGAGCCCATCAAGGTTGAAAATGGAGTCAAGCAAAGTGATCTTCTGGCTCCTACATTGTTTTCTATCTACTTTGCAATTTTACTGATTGATGCATTTGGGGACTGCCATGATGGTATTATGTTAAGGTACAGATCAACTGGCAAGCTTTTCAACATATATAGATTTGCAGCAAGGACAAAAGCCTTTTTGAGTTTAGTGTGCAATCTTCTCTATGCCGATGACTGTGACCTGGTCACACACACAATTCAGTATGCACAGGAGTTCATGGATCGACTATCAAGGTCATGTAAGGCTTTTAGACTGTCCAAGATAGTGGTGATGTATCAACTTGCCCGAGGAATTCAGTATATAGTCATCAATTTATGCTGATGGTAATTGACTTAGGATAGTATACAAATTTGTATATCTTGGTAGCACCCTCAAGTTCTTCCATGAGGCATCTCAAAAATATGCAGAACTGAAGAGAAGGGTTTGGAAGGTATCCTTGCATTGCCATGAGATACTAACCTGTCTATGTGCCCAATACAATCAGATATGTCTGCCCGGGGCTGGTCTGCTCAGTCACCAGTGGTCACACCAACAGTCTATTGTATATGATAATTTTGTAATGGCATGCTTTGAATGCCTGACCTGCACTAGAATGTGCAAGTCCTGGTCGGGCCTGACAAGGCATATGAAGAGGCACATTGGCAGTGATGATGATCAAAGTCAACTTCTACCATCAGGAGATGATTTCATATGCCACATATGACAAGAAATGCAGATCAATGTCTGGCTTTATGAGCCACTGTCATTCACACAACTGATGAATGCAGTGTTGTTATGGTGGGGGGAGTTTAAGTGAAGAGCTGGACATGTCAGTGATGGCCATATTCACTTTGTGAGTCAACAGCTGCCATATATATATATATATATATATATATATATATATATATGATTGAATAATTTACAGACATTATGTAAATTACTTGGGAGATGAAAATAAAAGAAATTTAAACAGCTATAGCACATTTCTCTCATCCTTTAACACCAATAAACAGAAGGTTATTCGTGAGTATGAATGGATTTTGTTAAAAATTAGCAGACATAATGTCTAAATTATTTAATCAGACATGCCTAAAAGAGAATTTGCTGCCTAAATACACACACACATATATTTATTATAAGAGATTATAATGAAAACATTTTAATTCACTACACAAAAGCTTTCATGTTTCAATACTTTGACTGTACTTCATCAGGCAATGGTTGATAACTGGTGATGAAATGATTTTTTTAGGGAAATTTAAAAACAAATTGTTACCTCTTTTCCGAAAGTTAAAGAATGAGGTATAAGGTCAGAATTAAAAATATACTTGTGGGTATGTCTTAATTAACCAATTAAATATCAGATCAACACTAAATAGAAAAATATGGTCAGAGTGGGGAGGTGGGTGAGTTATTTTTTAATTTTTTTTTTATTACCAGTTACCAACCATCGCCTGAGGAAGTACAATCATAGTATGGAAACATGAACTTTTGTCTAGCAATTTAAAATGTTTTTATTATAATCTCTTATAATAAAAATATAATAATAATATTTTGCTCTACTTTGTATTGAGCACTTTTTAAAAAGTAAATGCTATGTGGATTTTTACTCCATTTTTTTTCTTTCTCTGATTTGGATATTTTATTTATTATATATATATATATATATATATATATATATATATATATATATATATACACACAGATTTTTAGGCAAGACCACAAAAGACTCAATATTTTGAATGTGTATCTCTGCTCATTGGATGGACAAGATTTTTCTTATGTTTAATTATAAGATGTCTAATTTTTACTGCAAATATTGCATGTTGATAATTTGATAATTTTTTAATCAAATTTTGAAAAAAAATTTATTTTCAAATATTCACACACATACGAGTATAAAGAGAAAAGAGGAATCATGGAGACAGTAGATAGTAATTGACATTGTATTTAAACTTTGCAGATTGTGTGTATGTATATATATATATATATATATATATATATATATAAATGTGAACATAAAAGTCAACACTTAGAGGCGACAGTCTGTTTCATACAATGTTCACTTTTATATTTACACATGCTCTATCTCTGATATTGAGCACTTTATCCCATAAATATAGCACATCTTAAGATATATACACACACACACACACACACACACACACACACCTCCCTGTTTATTTTGTTAATATCATATATGTGTTCAGCTCTGAAGTTTAAAATAGAAAAATAAAATGATTCTGAGAAGCTTGTGAGTTGCAACAAAATAAGTTTTTCTGACTTGCAGGATAAAGTTAATCCATTAATTTTTTTTATCTGGAAATAACTTGTAATTTTTATTACCCTTTTCTTACTCTAAGATTTTCACTTATTCCTTAATTTTTTTACTTCTGAAAAAGTATGTAAATCCCTATTGATAGAAAAGTAAAGGGCAAGCACAATTAAATAGTGAATATTTAATCTAAAATGAATTTTTCTATTAGGAATGGTAACTCCTCGCCACATTTTTTCTTTTTATTTTAAATAATTCTATTTCACAGTGCCTAAATACTAATAATTGATTGATAAAAATATTTTATAAATGAGAACTTCTATTAAAGTCAACAGAACATAGATTTCAACAGTTAGAATACTTTAATTTCTTGAGACTCTAATACTTGGTCAAAATTTCTTTTCTGTGAAACATCACTTTACATAAGTTTGACAAATTTTAATAAGAGTAATAATTTTTGAATTTTCAGGAATAAAAGAGGATTGATTGAACTATAATTCTGCAAAATCTATTTTCACAGTTGCTTTTATTATTTTTCATGCTTTTAAAGAACATGTAAAATGTTGAGGTTTTACTATTTTACGGAAAAGTATTTAATGCTTTTAAACTCTGTTTTACACACGGCAATACATCAAATAAAAATAATCCAATGGAATTTTTATTTTAATGTCCTTAGTTTAGTTTCCATTGCTGGCCAAAAATTAATGCCTCCCTTTTTTTCCCCCGCATTTTGAAGGATCTATAACTTCTAAAACACTTAGAGAAGAGGTAAAATGAAACCGGAAATGGCTTATATGGGTGGAAAATTACAAGGGTACAAAATTTCAGCTTGATATCTGAAATACCACATCTATGAAATGCCAAGGTTGGCACAATTCTGCTTGCAGCTGGTGACATGCAAATTTAAGCAAATTTCATTTTATCAGAAATTTAGAACCATTTGTTCAATCAAACTGAAATTGTCAGGACTGATTTGTCTCTAAGGTATCACCTACTGAAATTTCATCAAAATTTAAGATGGTTCCCATGGGATGATTAAATGAGTCTGATATGAAGTGATGTGCTTATGATGTGTGTGTGTGTAAGTCAGGATTAAGTCCATGAGATTATGAAAGATTATTTACATTCAGGCTAATATCCTCATCTTCGTTGTTATCATGGTTTGGTTGTGGTGCCTTCAAGCCAAAATGTTGTGACAGCAACAACAAAGATAAAGATATTAGTTCAAATGTAAATAATGATAACTCCTCATCCCAGAAATCCAGACAAAAGTCATGGAAGATCTTTAATGAAAACAACTACAATCTTGAAATTTTCTTTACATGTTTTGGTGCATAGGGGACACTTGTATGTATTTAAAATCTGAATAGAGCAAAATGCAAATATTTACAGTTCTAGAAACTTCTGCAGGATGTTTATTAGCTACAAAACTGGTTAAAGGAAGACACACAAATAAATGACTCTCTGCTTTTTGTTAAACATAAGATATTCATTATGTATAAATAATTAATATATCACATAATTTGTTAAACATATGTTATTATAGATAATAGATAATAAATATAATATTTATTATAATATAAGATATAAACAGTATATCACATAATTTCTTAAATAAGATATTAACATGAGGTATCTGTAAGATTTATAAGATATTAAGAGTAAATATTTAAGAATTTATTAATAAGGTGGAACCGTCAAAAAAAGTAAATTTAATTTTTAGTTTAGGCACAAGGATAGAGTGGAAGAATACCCAATAAAGATTGAACTAATTAGTAATAATTTATTAACTATTTCTCTGCCAGGTGTCCAGCTTTAAATTGATGAATTCAACGAGTTAAAAGATGAGGAAAGTCAGATGTTCGTATTTGATAAAATTGTGAGGCTTCATGTAGTTTATAGTTTGAATTTGGAGTTCTTACAAGAAGACAGGATGTACTGGGGGTGTAATGTATAGTTGCTTGGAATGAGAAATTGTTGGGTTGTGTTTGAATTCTGGTCAGGTTCATTACATTCATTTGTGTGCAAATACTCTTGGGAAAGGCATGAACTCATCTATCCATTTAAGCTATGGATTAACTAGTAAGACCGTATATCTGAATTTTTTTGTTTTTTCTCCAAAAGATTGTTAATACAATATTCACTTGCAAAAAAAAAAAAAAAAAAAAATTATTCTTACATTTCAAAATATGTTTCAGATTTAAATAACCCACAAAGGGGTTGATAAGTCATATAAAAGAAATCAATCACACCAAGAAGATAGTTTAAAGTGATCCATTAATACTTACAGAAATAACTTAATTTTACATGATTACACAAAAAATATCTTAAAACAAAGCTTATGATTTACTTGTGATCTTTACAAGGTTTTGTTTTCTATTGCAGAACACACACAATGTCTTCCGCACTGAACAATACAATGCTGACTTGGTTCTTTGCAAGTTGAAGGATAGTATTCAAAAGAAATGTTTGGGCTGCAAACAGTCAGAGTAAGTACATAGGGTTTTCTTTTAACTGCTGAATTCTTAACACTGTTCTGATTATGCTTGGAGCCAGAATGTAAGATACTTATATTGTGGCTACTGATTCAATATCAAATTGCTTGATAAAAGTAAGTACCTCAAAACTTCTGAAGACATGTTCACTATTTCAGCACAAAATACAGGTGGCAGTTGGATTGACACAACACTTGATGCTCCACTCTGATCAGAAAGAATTTCTACTTACCATTTAGCATTCAACCCAACCAAACCCTGCACCTTAAATGTTGACTTTCAGTGTTAAACTCACTTTAACTTGCCCCATGTGTACTCTGCCATAATTTATGATGACATCATCACAAATAATGCAGGTAGTCATGTGACACTTTGACCACAAATGGTGAAACTTTGAGAGCTGATATTTATGGGGTGGGTTTGAGTGTGATGAATGCTAAAAGGTAGACTTCATGTTGTTAAGTCAGATTTTCAATATTTGACATAAAAGGTGGGTGTCACTTCCAAGAAGTTTACATGATGTTGATAACATAAAAGTCATAACATTTAGGAAGTTTCACTCTTCTTAATGTTTCACCTCTCAAACAAACTTTCTAATATTTCTATAACTGGACCAACAAAAACTGTAAAGATTGTGGAAAGCAGTAAACTGTCTGCAGTTTTTTTATGGAAGAAACAGTTTTTTTTTTAAATATATCAGGCAATATTTAACCTTTATGCCCATAAAAAAAAGATATGTGAAATGAATGGTTATTCCCTTCACACCACTATTATAGCATTTTTTGACTCCCTCTTCCATCTTGTTTTAAAAACCCAAACATATGAAAGTGGGTTTATGCATTTTCTTTATTTTTGAAAATTGAAAACAAAAATATTAAACACTATTCAATTGTTTATTTACAAGATTAAAACTTAAATAACACATGATGACAAGTAACTGTAATTATAAATTTTGAAAAAATGCATTTTCTGGTTTTTTTCTTTCATTTGCTTTCACCACATAAATTCCCTAAGACAGATTGAGAGCATTTCTTCCTCTGAACTGAACATTCTTTTAATTTTAGATTTTAGGCAAGACCACAAACACTCAATATTTTGAGTGTGCATCTCTCTGCTCATTGGATGGACAAGGTTTTTCATGTGTTTATTTACAGAATGTCTGTAATTTTTACCGCGAATATTGCATTGTTGTTGATAATTTTTGATAATTTTTTTAATAAAATTTTGAATAAAATTTTCTTTCCAAATTTGTTTTTTATGAAATGGTAAATAATAAATCTAAAGGTAAATAATAAATATTGCATTGTACTTGGTTAGTGTTGTGTAGTAGGTGAACACCCCCACAAGATGGACTGGTCTAAGACTATTTAAACAGCACTCTCTCTTACTAAGGGAGAGGAGTTAACAATTTACTGTTTATTACATTAGTCTGTGTTCTCAACCGTATACTATATTATTCTCTGGACTAAACTACTTCTTATTTTCTATGTGTGCCAACCTTTCCTATTTACAACACAACAGTTACATATTTTTATAACCTTGTAAATAAACATTACTGAGTGAATAAAAAAACAAAAGAAAAACAAAACAGTTTAATAGCAGTGTCATGGTAATAACTGTCCTTTTCACACACCATTTTTTGTGGGCACAAAGGTTAAACATTGCCATATATTGTATACTAGTTTTCTTTTTTTTTTCTTCAAATCAGTTACACATATTTATATGATGCAACTCTTGCTCTGCCACAAAAAGAAAAATGAATTGCCCTTGATACCTTTTTCTTTTTTGACAATTGAGTAAGTTTGCATTAAATGCCAACATTTTGCAACTGTACTCATCTGCAAGTTTAGGAGGCCACTTATTTTAAATAAGAAGTATTTTTTAAAACTGTTCTGCTACCAGTGTTAGGAATAATCTCTCAGATCAGCTACTAATCCAATATGGCTGCCTCCTTTATGGCCTCCTTGTGGCTTTATTCTGGAAGTATTCTAACACCAAACAATTTGCATCTTAACAACTAGCCTTTACCATTATTCTATTACTACTATTTGTTACATAGTTGTTCTTTGATTTGAAGACCACTGGTCTTCCAAACATTAGGGTTTGTGTCTGCCTGTGAAGGTGTCCAATAAAGCTGATTTTGTGACACTGGATAAAAGTGAAAATGTGCTTAGAATTAGTGATTCTGAGTTTGATTTGCTTTCTCTTTCCAGCAGCTGTGGTTGTGTTGTCTTCACAGAATTTGGAATATGTCTTAGAACAAAGCCAATTAGTGACTTGAAATCAGAAATCAAGGTTGATGTTAAAAGCTTTCATGGTATCTTTGCAACCTTTCTTCTTGACATTATGCTGTCCATTTCCTTGTGGCTGATGACCATATAAAATCTTTTTGACCTCTAAGTCCTTGGCAAGTGAAGTACATGACCTATCCAGAACAAATAAAACCACATCATGTTGATAAACATTCTGAGCAAGTGTCTTGAACACACTCTTACTAAGTGTTATTAAATAATGTTGACAGTTGCATAAGCAAAGTTGAATGTAGACTTCAACATTGTGTCATACAGATTGGTACTTTGAGACCAAATAACAACTACCATAATTTTCCATAGCAGAGGAATGATATTGTGAGCATTTCGCATTTGTACTGAGAGTGAGAATTATGCATGCTTTTTATTTAGTCTATATTTTGAAATATTTTTTTTTCAATAACTGATTACTGCAATTGACTGTTTGGAGGAATCTGACACCCAGAGTTAGATTCATTTATAAAACAATTCCAGTCAAATAAATTAGACACCTGTGAAAATTTGTGATTTTAAAAAAAAAAAAAAAAAAAGGATTAGTTGGATGTTTTTACATGTTGACCTTTGTTCAGTTAATGTTGAATTTTGCATGGGGCACCCAGCGAGGATCAAACTCATTACTCAGTCATAACCATGACCTCACACTGAGATATCCTAACAAGGAAACTATTTTAATATTTTTCAAAACTCTACAAAAGATCTCTAGACTCCAAAAACTTTGATAACTGTTTTTAACTTTTTAAAGTGAATATAATTTTTGTTTTAAAAATCTTGTAATTTATTTTAGAAATAGAAAAATACTGTATTTGCATGACTATAAGAGACCAGCAATTTTAGGACAAATATTCAGTGCAACTTATCCCAATCTCTGCAACATGAGCGTTTTTATTTGAAAAAAGTGGCCGTGATAATCACCCCACCCACTCCAACTAACTAGACAAATATGGTTGTAAAGTGGTGGTTGCACAATATATTTCTGGGGATAGGCTATCATTTCATGCATAAGTCAAATAGATAGGACTGAATTGGTGTAGTGGAATCCTTATTGTATTAATATTTTGTATGTCATGATCACGAGAGCTGTAACACATTAGGGTTTTATGGGCATCACATCTACTGCAGCTGCAGTAGTGTTTCCTGGGCAAGACAGCCTGATAAAGCCCAACCCTCTCCAGGATGATTTTGAATTCAGAGTTTTCCTTCCAAACTAGTTGCCACCCAAGACTATAGGGCCCAGTCTGTCCTGCTATTTACCCATAGCTAGGGTAGAGATGGATTCATACCTTTCCCAATGGTATTAGGATGTAGTTGAATGTAATGAACTCAACTGAAATTATATACTCTAGTATATTTTATGCAAAAAATAGGGGGTTGCACTATACATAAATAATTTTTTCCAGAGGGTTTTAAAATTTTATGCATTTTTGGTGATCATAACCTACCTGGTTGGCCTACATTCTCACAGTACCTTTGGCTAGCCTTAATGGTATAGGTAAGCTCCTTTAGCCAGCTACCTGTAGCCATTGTACAAAAAAAAATGAAAATAATTTGTTATAAAATATGTCCAACATGATGCCAAGTACTGCAATATTTGACTACAATAGGCCTACTAGTATTGCTCAGAAGCTGGGGTTGAATTATATATGATCTATATGAAAAAAATTCAGGTTTTTCACTAAAAAGTTCAGGGGTTACATTATACATGAAGAAAGCTTATACATGAGTATATATGGTATATTGTAATCTCCATTTTCATCATGATTTCAGAATGAACACAAGAAATGTGAAAATTAGAAAATAAAGAAGCTTGACAAGAACAAGTTATATCCCATATTCATATAAGTTAAAGCGAGTTAAAGCTTTGTGTGACCCTTTTCCAGAAAATACACAAGTTGAACTCGGTTTTAGAAAATGCAGCTTGAAATTTCAGTTGGCATGCAATTTCACAAATATGAGGAACCTATTTGAAATTGGAATTAAATAAAGAATTCCATTTAAAGAAATGTCCAGAGAAAATTTCATTAAACTTCCTTAGTGCATCCATGAAAATTAAATACTTGTCTTTTTTCCAGTCATAAAATGTTTGCATTTTCTTTTATTTCTTTTATTTTCTTTATTTATTAAAATTCAAAATCCTGTTAATTTTTTTAAGAACATTTTTTTGTCAATTGGGTTCTTTTAACAAAGGTGTTTCTATATGTTTATCTCCAGATTCTTGAAATGTCATTTTATTTAATTTAAAAAAAATATTTTCTGTTAATTTGTGTTAGTGTTGGTATATTTATATCATGTTTTGTTTTTCCCTTTTTTAAATCAAGCTATGTCCTCCGCTGCTTTGTTGCTGATGACAAAGGCAAAATAAAGCTTTCTTTCAACTTGGAAGTGTGTGTCGTGCCAAAGTTACCTTTTGTTGGAATTCGTAGCAAGCGAGTTAAAGGGGACACATGGCAATATAAGAAATTCTGCGAAGACATTATACAGACGTCCAACTTATAAAGGTAAGTTGTATTTGTGTGGATTATTTTTTTATTTTATATACAGGAAATGTCTTTCTAATGTTAATGGAGAAAAAATTTTTCAGTTTTTGGGACTTCTTGCAATGAAGACATTAGTTCAGTCACTATTAGATTTCATAGATGTTTTTTTGTTTTGCTCTGAAATTGAAATTTGATTCTTTTGAAATCTTTAGCAATGATGACCATTATTTGTATATTGCTGACAATTTAGAATGGTTGAACCAATTCTAGATTTATCAGAATAAAAACATTAAAAATTACACAAAATAGGAAGGCATTTTAATTTTGGCAAAAAAAAAAAAAAATTTTTAATATTTTTCTTCTAATTTTGTTCACTGTAATTAGTGCAGAAATTCCAGAAAACTAAATAATTTTTATATTTTTTTATATAGGGGAAAAAAAACTTATGAGTTTATATAGATGTATTTTTGATTAAATTTCTTTCATGTTATTTTTATTGCAATTCTCAGTTCATTTTTTTGTTATTCAGTATTGATCAGATATAAATGATTATCCTCTGATAAGATTTGAACTTGCAACACATATTATTGGGAGCTGGTCTACCTTACCAATAAGACCATAGATGGCTAACAGAAAGCAAAATTCAAATTTAGTCATAGCTACATTTAATAACTGATTTAGTCTATACCATATTGCTTATACTACTGCAACTAGTGAAATCTTATTTGTATGCATTTACTGAAAAAGCATGCTAATTTAATTTTAAAGATTATTGTGGAAAAACTATTTCTCTTGTAAAAATATTCCCTTTCTTTTGCCTTGTTTGTTTTTACTAAATTTCTATCTTTTGAATTTTACAATGAGTTCAACATGGGAAATACAAAAGAAGTTTGTTTGGTTAAGATAGTGGTTTCTTGTTTCTCCATGGTTTAGAGTTCAGTTTTCTTTCTCTCTGACTGGTTGTCACTCAAGGCTAGCAAATCCAGTCTACCGTGGTATTTAACCTCCAGCTGGGGTGTAGGGGAGGTGTATTAAGAGACATATTCCGGCCTTTCTCATAGGTATTAATATGAAAGTGAACACAACAGATTAGCCTGGAATTTGTGTTGGCTTGCCAATTTCACTTTCCATGTGGATATTTTTTATGCTATCCTCATATCCCAGACACTGTAGGGCATTATGGCCATATCACAATGAAACACTGGTCCTCATATGATCACTGAAGTTAAGCAATGTCAATCCTGGTCCATACCAAGATGGGTGACCACTTGGGAATACCAGGTGCTGTAAGTTTGAATATGCAGGTGGTAAATTGGAAAACCAAATTTCAATTCTGGTTGGGTTTGTTATATTCACTTATGTGCTAATACCCTTGGGAAAGGTATGAATTCACCTCTTCTCCCTCCCAGCTATGAGTTAATTAGTAGGACTTGTACCAATAAATTATTATTGTCTCAAACATTTTTACAATATAAAAATATTTTCTGACTTTAAATAATCTGCAAAGGGTTGATAAGTCATAGAAAACAAATCATTTATTCAATCATCCATTTCCAGACTTTGTAATATATGATTATCATTTGTAATATAATTAGAAAAAATCTTTGGGATATAATGCACCACATCTACTTGTGCAATATGCCAATTTTGGCAGATGTCATATGTTGGCCATCTCTTGTATATGAGAACTTCAAGGTGTGGAGAAGTGGTACATTAATTTAAAAGCCATTTTATGTTCAAAGTGTCAAAGATATGGAAATGTGAACCTGTTGGAATGTTTGAGAGTGGCTGCAGCAACTAGACAAAGCAAATGTATTCAATTCCTTTGAGTATCTCTTATAGCCAATTCTTCTGATTTTTACAAATTTGCGTAATAGACAGAAGGATGTATTTTATCCTGCTTCACTTACTTTTTCTCTTTGCTTTTTGTCAAATATGGACTCTGTTTTCCTTCTCAATCTCCTTTGTACAAAGGTTAAATATGAGGAGCTCTCTTTTGAATTTCTATGTCAAGTGATGCAACTATTTGATTGGTCAATCAATGAAGCAAAATTATAATAATTTTGAATTCTCTTTCTTCTCCAAATCCGTTTTATTTTTGTTTTCTGCTTTTTCTCATAAAAACTTAATATCTGCCCATGGAGAGAAATAAGAAGGATACTACAAAATTAAATCCCAAGCCAATCAAGCCATATTCAGCAGATATAATTGCTAGCCATCTTCTACTTGGTCATTGAATTCCTTGGCCTGCATTTGACAATTAAGATATTCTGTGTTTACGGGAAAGAAAGCTACTGTAAATGAAGTAGGAAAAAGTGGGAGGATGAAGGAGCTTTTTCAAGAGTGGTGGATTCTGGAGTAGTGGAAAGATGCTAAAGTAATGGAGTCCGACTGGTAGATCTATTGTAACATTTGTTTTTGTCATTGTCTTGGTTTTCTGTTATTGCAGCAACTCTACCATGAAATGCTTGGTCTGTTTTGATTAAAAGTTGGTAAACAAATTTGTTATTGACCATTGGCAAATTTTGCCCTAAGCTTCTCTCTGGAACCGATTCGGGTTCTTCCTCCGTCCAACTATTGATCGTGTGGTCTGAGAGAAATTGGGGTCGGGAGCTAGTTGACTGTTTTTGGCATACTATGAAAACAAAGATAAAAAAATGAAATTTAGAGGAAAATCTTTGGAGATTAGAAGCCTATCATTGTCCATTTTTAATCCATTAGTTTTACTGTGTTTTTCTGCAACACACACCCTGATAGCTATTTTCAGAAGGAAAACAAGCCTTTTGTCGTATAGTATGCAAGAAGCCTAGCATTAGTGCATTTTTTATGAAAAAGCACATCTTGCATACATTTACAAAAAAAATATCTTAACTTTTCCTTTTATGTAATGGTATTTTTAAAAGAAATAATTATATAAGGTGAACCATTTGTGGTTAATTTTTTATATTTTTACCATGGAAAATTGTTTTTTATACATATGCATTTTTGTGTGTGTTGGTGCTTAGTTACAAATAATTTAATCTTTACAGTATAATGTAGTAATTTCAACTACTCTTAGAAAATTTCTGAATATTTATGAGAAAATCACATTTCCTTTATGTGTGTTAATGTTTCTATGTAGTTCTATGTGTATATCTAAGACAATTTGGAAAAACTCCTATTTTGACATGTTTTGCCAATGAGATGGTATCAGAAAAATTCACAAGAAAAAAATCTTCAGTAGTGAAAAAAAATTTAATTCATGTAATGTAGTTGATCGCTTGATATTTAATTTAACTCTCATTAGAAAAATTATGGTTTTGGCTTACAACCACATCATGTTGAAACACTATTTCCTGTATGTTACTGAAGTCAAGCAACATCAAGCCTAGTCAGAAACTAGGTGGATAACCACTTAGCAATACCAGGTGCTGAAAGCTTGGATATGCAGTTGGTAGAATATATAACAACTTGGAATTGATAATCGGACAGTTGAGTTCCAATTCCTGGTGGGTTTGTTATATTCATCTACACACAAATGCCTTTGAGAAAAGGTATGAATCCCACCTTTTCTCCCAGGTATGACTTAATTAGTAATTAAACCATTATTATCTCAAAAAAAAAAAAACTCTTACAATAAAATATTTTCTGGCTTTAAATAACCCACAAAGGCTTGATAAGCTCTAGAAAATGAATCAACCAGCCAGCCAATTTGGTTTTTGTTTATTTTAATATTTTATCAAATTTTTTGATTTATTTTTATTTAGTTCAATGTGTGTTCAAATATGTTAGATTGTGATGTTAGTATGTGACTAAACAAAGTTCATTCTTTTCTGTCTATTGACCATTGATGCATATACACTAGTCTATATGAAATAGTGTGTGTATTCATGCATAGCTACATCTTATAAACAGGTATCTGCATCCTGCATCTCTCAGTTGATTGTTTTGAAATGTGAAAAATAAAAACTTTCCTAATGGGTTATAAAGTTTTATTTTTTTCCCATTACTTTAGATTTTCTTGTAAAATAAATTTTTTTTCTGATGATACCTTTTCGTTGGTGAAACATGTCAAAATAAAAGTTTTTCCAAATTGTCTTATATACTTACATAAAACTATGTCAGTAAGTCTCTGAGATTTCAGAAAGTAATTCTGACTTAAACTGATCATCTCCACTCCAAATTATCTGTCCAATATGAACCTAGTTTCTCACTTTTCAGAATTTTCAGGTTCAACTAATACTAATACTCTGTATCTGTCTGTACACCAGATTGCGTAATAGCAAGAGATATTGCAGATCACCCCTCTAAGGGCCAGTGTGGAGTATAAAGCATGTTACAATGGGCATGGTCTTTGGATGCTGTACAGCCCACCCAAATTCCACAGTTATCATCATGACTGGGTATGGTTGTATGGTTACTGTGCAAATGAGCACCTGACCAATTCTTTCAACATACCTGGGTTGAAAGCCAGAAAGTAGAATTGAAAACCACTCAAGACATTTCCTTCCTATTAAAAACATCATAAAAAAGGGCTGTGTTCTGGCTTCAATACTGTTCTCTATATTTTGTAGCATGGTATAAGAACAAACCTCAGAGGAAATGAATGACAAAATTGAAAAAAAGTGTACATCCACATACATACAAGTAGCAAGATATATGTAATGTGTATGTAAACAGATATGCAAAAAAAAAAAAAAAATATAACAACATCAGCCTAATAATGTTTTACTAGGTTTATCTTTCCAAACATATTTAGGGCTGTTTGTAGTTTTGTTTTTTACTGGGTGTGGCTGTAGGGAATTTGGTGAGGTCTACATGTCCTATATATACTTGATAAGGTATTATTATATCATATTTGTCAAGACAAATTCCAGTTTCATGAGTTGTTCTTGCAAACCTCACCATAACAGCACTATTACCTGACAGGCTGGTCCGGTAGCCTCATGTTCTCCTCACAAACTACTTGACTATCTGACCAAAAGATCTGAAAACCAAGCAACATTAACACCAGTCATGGCAATATTCTTTGGCTCAGGTAAGACATAGTAACTGATGTTGTGTCAATAATAGTACCCTTGCTGAGTGAAGATTAGCAAATTCCTTGGAATGCAGTGCATTATCTGAGTTGAATAGCATCAGTATTTAATTGGGATGTGATGTTCCCTTTTGCTAAATGGTTATAATCTTCCTTTTTGGTTGTTGGCAGTCCTATTCTTGCATCCTTTGTGCATGTTTACCGTTTTCAAGTGGTGCTGATGTTTGTCCAGAATTCACATATTACTGGTATATGCTTACTACTGTTTAGTGAAAAATCTAGAGCAGTTGCCACATCTGAAATAGTGCCCTATCTACCTGGCCCCAGTGATATGTCTGTAGCCCAACAGTGTTAAATCCTGTTCATGTTTTGTGGCTTCCACAGCTGCACTCTTTGCCTATTATGTCATATGTTGTCTGGCTGAGCCCTTTTGTACAAATGCAAGAGAGCAAATCAATCCTATATATGTACTTATGTCTCTGTTTTGGGTACTACAGTTTATTTATATATATATATATATATATATATATATATATATATATATATATATATATAATATATATATATATAATCTAATTTCAAATAGAGTATATCTGTAAAAAGAATAATATGAATAAAAATATATATATATATGTGGCCTGAATATTGTGCCCAAGCTTGAAACACTGTTGCTGTTTGGTGTTGCCTTTAGTGTTCACCTGTTTTATGCATAGCAATTTTTCAAAATAAGTGTTTATCTTGGATACTCCTGAAATCTAATTTTTTTTAACGTTTTTCAAAGAGAACGTATCAGTGAGCCCAGCTGTTCTGATGTAAATCTTCTTCCCTGGTTTTTCCTTTTTTGTTACTTTTGCCAAATATAATGTTTTTCTCTCTACACTTTCCCTGTAGTGGACATTTGCTTTTATTTCTACAATTACATTTTTCTGTTAGTGCTTTTGTAACATTGTTATTTAGTATTTTTATATTTTTTTGATTATTTGTCCAATGTTATTCATGTGAATGTAACTAATTTTTATGATTTTTCTATTAAAATATTTTAATTTGTGTGATTTATGAAAGTATTTATAAATTTAAAAAATATTTCCCTGTATTTGTATCAACATTCTTATTGTATTGTGGATTTAAACTATATTATTTAATAGTATGTAATGAAAGGAATATACATTAACATATAGGATGGGAAGAAAGACTAAATGAACTCAACTAGATAAAAAAAAAAAAAAAATTCTAGAATTCCCAGCACCCCTCATTTGTGCATATTTGTAGTCAT